AAAAGGGTAACAACCATTTTAAAATAAAAAAACATCCAGAACTGCAAGAAAATCAAACTGCATGGAAGTCTGAGAACCAAGGAGTTAAAGAAACATTCATCCAGACTGGTGGGAGGGGCGGAGACAGGCAGCTGTGGCAGAGAGGATACAAGGCAAAGCAGTGGACAAACTGAGGAGGTGGGGGTTGGCTGACAGGGTGGTCCTACATTCACGCATGGATAAGCCAGGGGGAACAAACTGGGGAGCGAGACAGACCAAGAAACCCAGGGTTCCAGCATGGGAAACTCAAAACTTCTGGCTGTAAAAATCTGTGGAGGTTGCAGTGGCAAGAGAAACCTCCAGTCTCACAGGAGAGTCTGTTGTAGAGACAGAATGTACATGAACCCACCCACCTGGGAATCAGCATCTGAAAGGGCATGATTCCCTTGTAGGAAGAGGGAAGTGAGAGAAAGGAGGGCAAGAGCCAAGCAAGCAGCATTGTTCCCTCTCTGACCACAACCCTCCCCCCACCAACATACGGTACCACAATGCAGCAATGTGAGTTGCCCTGCCCCGGTGAATACCTAAGGCTCCACCCCTTACAATTAAACAGGTGCATTGAGACAAAGAAATATGGCCCAAATGAAAGAACAGATCAAAACTCCAGAAAAAGAACTAAGTGACGAAGAGACAGACAACCTACCAGATGCAGAGTTCAAAACACTGATAATCAGGATGCCCACAGAATTGATTGAGCTTGGTTGCAAAATGAAGGAAGAAATGAAGGCTATACAAAGTGCATCAAAGGAAAATACGTAGGGAACCAACAGTAAAGGGAAGGAAACCGGGGCTCAAATCAACGATTTAGAACAAAAGGAAGAAATAAACATCCAACTGGAGCGTGAAGAAAGAAGAATTCAAAAAAAATGGGGAGAGCCTGAGGAAACTCTGTGACAACTTTAAACTTTTCAACATCTGAATCATAGGGGTGACAGAAGGAGAAGAAGAAGAGTAGGAAATTGAAAACTTATTTGAACAAATAATGAAGGAAAACTTTTCCAGTCTGACCATGGAAATAGACTTCCAGGAAGTCCAAGAAGCTCAGAGAGCCGCAGAGAAATTGGATCTAAGAAGAAACACACTAAAACACATCATAATTAAGTCACTCAAGATTAAAGATAAGGAGAGAATCTTAAAAGCAGCAAAAGAGGAGAGTTTCCTACAAAGGAGGTCCCATAAGACCATGAGCTGATTTTTCAAAAGAAACCTTACAGGCAAGAAGGAACTGGAAAGAAGTATTCAAAGTCATGAAAGGCACTTACATCCAAGATTACTCTGTCTGGCAAAGCTATCGTTTAGAATGAAAGGGCAGATAAAGTGCTTCCCAAACAAGGTAAAGCGAAAGGAGTTCATCCTCACCAAGCCCGTATTATATGAAATGTTGGAGAGACTTATCTAAGAAAAAGAATATCAAAACTATGAACTGTAAAATGACAACAAACTCACAACTATCAACAACTGAAACTAAAAAAACAAAAACAAAAACTAAGCAAACAACTAGAACAGGAACAGAATAACAGAATCACAGAAATGGAGAACACATAGAAAGCTATTAGTGGGGAGGGGGAGAATGGGGGGGAAGGTACAGGGAATAAGAAGCATAATTGGTAGACACAAAATAGACAGGGGGAAGTTAATAGCATAGGAAATGGAGAAGCCAAAGACCTTACCTGTACAACTCATTGACATGAACTAAGTGGTGGGCAGCGTGGGGGGAGGGTGGAACAGAAAGGTGAGGCGTGGTTTAGGGCAGAGGGGGAGAAGGGGGAGAAAAAAATGGGACAACTGTAATAGCATAATCAATAAAATATACTTTAAAAAAGAATAACAACCAAAAAGAAAAAAAACAAAGCCTGGAAGCCATTTCTAAACATGGGCCTCTCACACAAATTGTACTTCGGGGAGAAGCCTTCACTACGCTGCCTTCCTCCAGCACTGAACTGCCTTCCTACACTGTGTTTCTGACATCTGCAACAGCCTTTGAGAAGTTCCTGGAATCTTATTTCAAACAATAGGACTGAGGCTTCCCCGACAAAGTGAAGCTGCATAGCTATATCCCATCGACATCTTCACTGACTTATCAGGACAACTCTACTCTGAATCATCAGGACAGTGCCTTTTGGACCAATCAAACTGGGAAGATTTGGAATCCTCATTTGCATGAGAATGAACCAATTAAGGACCCAATTGGGGAAACAATATAGAATACCTGCTATATTTTTCCTAAAATCAGTGTGACATTATCTATGAAAACTTAGAATGAGGAAGCCTTTCAAACCCAGTATTCGCCCTTCTAGGAATGAAGAATCAAGGATGACTTGCACATTTACATAAACATACATGTTCAAAAATATATATTACAACATCGGATCTATAATATGCAATTCAAACTGAAGTCCAAACCTGAGATCTTGATTTTCACTCTCAATTCTGTTCTACCTAGTTTTCTACATTCTAGTAAATGGCTCCACTTGTCCAAGGCAAGTATCAGGGAGTCATTTATTGCTCCTTCACAATCAATCCACTAGAAAGGCCTATCTCTTTTTTCCTTTAAAATACAATGCAAATTAGTCACTCCAGTATGGACTACCAGTCTGGACTACCAGTCCTGAACACCTTTATGTCTCACCTGGACTCTAGTAAAAACCTGATGATATCCTTCCACTCAACCTTTGTCCCTCAGAACGACAGAAGCCAAAATGATCATTTTAAATAAGATCATTCACTTCCCTGTGTAAAACTCTCTCACAGCTTCCATTGAACTTAAAGAATCTAAGTGCCTCATGACTCTACGTGACTCTCCAAGCCCACCTCCTGCCATGTTCTCCCTTGCTTTGATCATGCCAGGCAAAATAGACAATCTCTAAAACCTACCATGCTCTTTCCTGTTCCAAGGCCCTCGATCATGTTTTTCTCCTCCCTGGAAAGCATCTTTCAAGGCTGGCTCCTCATTAACTAGTTCTTATCAAAATAGCCTTCCTTTTGCCCACATATGAGTATTTTCTTTTTTGTTCACTATTGCTTCTTAATATCTATTCCCTTCACATACTCACCTCCACCTTTATGTTGTTTATTTATTTGTTTTAATTTCTTTACACTAGTACATAAAATCCAGATGGCATTAATGGTTTCATTATTTTCCTGGCACCATGTATAGCTCATATCAATAAATGTTTATTAGACGAATGACAGATTAACATAAGGGCAACCTGAGTTTTTTATTTCATTTGCCACAGATAAGTTATTGTTTAAATGATGAGTCTTAATTTGGAGTAAAAATCTGACAGATCAAGCAATACCTACTTCAGATAAAATAAAAAATATCAACAAGAATTTGGTGAAAACTTATGCAGTATACAATAATGTACTAAAAGTTTATCATCTGGCTTCAACAATCTTCTTGCCTTCAGCTTGGGCCACACACACATAACTTAAATGTGGCCATTTCCCTTTGGGAAATATAAATCGGCTATAACTCAAGGTGTATGTGGCAAGAGATGAAGCTAAGAAGATTGCTGAGGACAGGTCAGGCTTTTGTAATGGAATGGTGATTATGTTTTAGAGAATCAGGGGTTTGTTACTAAATTTTGTATACTATATTAACAAGTAGGGCACTTGATAAACTATAAGAGTGAGGGATTAGAGTCAGTACAAAGGTTATGTCCTACATGGTATCAACATAGTAATATTTTTGCTATCATAGAATCAGTATCATGTTTCTTGTGTGGCACACTAAAATTTAGATCTTGCTACTACCGTTAAAGATTTCAAAGGTGTTATACTTTAGTATAAAGCCTATGTGCCTTGTTCTTAAAAGTACTCCACTGAAATTATGTGAATTGGCTTTATGAAATCTTATCCAATCTTAGATAATATGCTAGACTCAAAATAAGTACTCTTTCTGCTGATAATATAGTCTCCTTATCTCACTCATTCCAAACTGTACCATATTTTAAAAACATACTCTATTGGTCCATATGCTTGCGTATTCTATTTTTATTTCCAAATGAGGTATACTTATGTAAAAAGTATATTTCTAAAATCATGCTGTATAATGTAAACTTTGTTATTGACAATATTTTGCTATTTGTTATTCTATAATTGAGAAACTGGTCTTGGGAAGTTTTAACATTTTAATATTCATTTTCAATATTAATTCTCATAAAAATAACAGTCTTAACTTTTAAAAAATAATGCCTATATTGCAGCAGTTCCCAATTCTCCTTCTTACACTAAGACTTTTCTTCACTTACATAGATCCGAAAGCTTCTGATTTGGTAGACCTCTGATTTTATTCTATATTGGTTATTAAAATCCCAAGAAGGACAACAGAAAAGTTAAGGCCTACTTTCATTAGCACTTTTCTCTCCTTCCACCATAATTGTTTTTCCATTAAAAATGATTCTTTGGAGGTGGGAAAAAGCAGGAAGATAAATAATTAAATTTCTTTTTTGAGCCTCTGATTAATGCTTCTTCATCTAACTGGAGAACCATGTTTAATAACTCCTGAAGTTCTGTATCTCTGCAGAGTGGTAAGTCCTTCACTTCTTAGGAAAAACTTCAGTTCTCCTGTAAATTTCACCTCTATTTATCCCAAATTAGGAATTAACAAGTCCTGGTGTAGAGCTATAACCACAGCAAATAAAACTACAAAGGGGAAATTATTGCTCTCAGAACTCCAATGAGGTCACAACCTCAAAGGAAAACAGGTCATCATTTTTTGAGAAGGACTGTATGTAATGTGGGCAATGAGTATCAGGTGATTAAAATTTGGAACCACTAAAGCAATTGCTAATGCGCAATCTCTCTTTGTAAACTACTTCACATCAGAACAAAGCAGCGAGCAGTGTAAGAGACTTTACCCTAACTTACCTGTACGAGTGTGTTGTAATATGTAGTTAATGGCCTACTTTCATACTACTTCTTAAAGTAAAATAAATAAAAACACAACAGAAACTTACCTTCATAAGGGGACCCCAGTTGGTATTTTCCACTAAAAAATTTTGGCAATGCAAATACGAGTGCTCCCAATCCTATCATAAAGGATGCAAATGCAAGCCATCTTGGTTTGTGTCCTCTTTCGCCAATATATGATACAAATAGAGACAACAAACAGAATGCTATATCATAGCTTGATGATATCAGGCCCGTCAGGGAACTCTTCATTTCATAGCGCTTCTCAATAGTGGAAATGCTAATATTTATTAAGCCATTTACTACGATACCTAAAAGAGAAAAAAAATTATGTGTATTATTACAACTTTACCATATAGATCATGATTATATAAATATACAATGTACTAAAGTTTGGTTGCTGGTTTCCTTTGACACTTTTAAATGTACCAATTTTAAAAGATTCAAAATTTCAAAGGTAGGCAACCAAAACATACTTCCTTACAAATCAGTTTCCTTTTAAAATTCACACTTGTGAATTTTCAGGTGTCAAATAAAACTGATGCTTACCATATCCTAAATCATAGCTAACTTCATTTTTCTTAAAATGACCATCAAAAAGTCAGACTGGTAAAGTCTCATGAAGCTAGTTGTCAGTGTCCAAGTGCAGCATACTCTCACTGACCTCACTCAGAAGAGTATAAAAAGCACAACTGATTCCAGAGGTCATCTGAGTAATGCTCAACAGCTTTCCAAGTTTCTCAACCCTTAAACATATTTATCTATAACAAGTGATCCTTGACTTAGTCTTAAGAAAGTTAAAACTGATCTCTCAAACCATTTTTTTTTTTCCGAACACTTTCATAGACATTAAAGTTAAAGGTCCTGGAGAGAAAGTAAACATGAGTCTTATTTCAACCACTGGCATTTTAAATCATAGAAAAAGTAAAATTTAAAAAAAGAGACTTTACCCTAACTTACCTGTATGAGTGTGTTGTAATATGTAGTTAATGGCCTACTTTCAAAAACCTTACACTTCATCTGCTTATTGTAACAATGATGGAGGACTATAATGTAAACAAGGAAAAGCTGAAAATCCAATTTTGACTAAAAACAAAAATGTCCAAATATAGATTAAATTTACAGTTTAAACATTACTATAAATTAAAAAGAAAAGGCAGCTGATTAAATTACAAAGTTTTTATTATTGGGTTGGCCAAAATGTCTGTAATTTTTTTTATAAAATAAGACACACTTTTCATTTTCACCAATAACTTTATTGATTTGGACATCTTAAGTATGTCAGCTATCTCCTGCATGGTATAACATTGATTGTTCTCAATTAATTTCTAGATTTGATCACTATCAACTTCAACTGCTCTACCTGACCGTGGAGCATCATCCAGTGAGAACTCTCCAGTACAGAACCTCAAAACTCCTTTTCACATGTTCAATCAATCACAGCACCTTCTCCATCCACTGCACAAATCTTGTTTTGTATTTAAGTTGTGTTTTTAACTTTCTCAAAATAATAAACCATAATATGCTGAAACTGTTATTTTCTTCCATCTTCAATATTAAAATGGCCACAAAAAAATTCACCAATTTTGATAGGTTTTTTAAATGCTCACTGATGTGACAGCTGTCACAATACAATCTAACAAAAGCATTTTGAATGAAGTTAATACAACTAAGCACTACCAGGGACATCTTATGAAAAACACCAAACGGACTTTTTAGCCAGCCCATAGTTATCCCTTTTCCTTTAGAGAATACAAAGAAATTGTTTTTTATTTCTTAATTAATAGAAAGAGTATACACAAGCCATTATTTCTACAATTTCTTTAAATTTTGCATTATCAAGACTGTAACTGGAAATATATTTCAAGAAAATTAATATAACAAGTTTTAAAAGTCCTAACATGATTTTTACTTTTATGCCAGTTTAAGAAGTCCCTAAGTCAATTTATAATTCCTAAGATTTCAATGTAAAAAAAAGTATCTAAAATACCTAGGAATGACATATTTATAAGGGGATAAGGTTATCTGAGAATATGAAAATTTCATCATCCAAAAATCAACTTCCCAAAACATTTGCCACACTGATTAAAAGTCAGTCATTAGAACACCTTGCCTTTATGGTAAAACTTTTCTGAAAAAGTAAATTTGTAAACTCTTGCAGAAGTATGGCATTTAAAATATCAATCCTAACATGAACTCTGTCCTACAGAAGTTCCAAGAACTCTGCTGAGAGAAAGAAGAAAGAAGAAAGAAAAAAAAATTCACAAAATATTGCATAATATGTCTCTCTACCATAAACGCCTGAAGATAGGAGGCACATTGGGAAATTAAGTCTTCAGGAGGATCCTGTTATCTCAGAGAAAAGTTAAGTAAATTCACTTGACAAGTGTTGGGGTTCTGCCCAATAAAACACCTATTGATATACCATGAAAATGGTCTTCCCAAGGATCATGTTTGAGAAACATATGATAATAATGTTTTCAGTCATTCAAACTTGAACTGAAACAAGAATAGTGGGTCACTTTTATCTCAGATTATGCTTCTGGGGACTTTTGCGTAGATGCAGCTCCAGGTGAAACATTTTTTAAGAATGCCAATTATATTTAGTAATAATCTTTAAAATAGTATATTAAATATAAAATGACATCTGGAATAACATAGAAATTTCAGAATTCATTTTAATATAAAACACAAGGATTTTTTGTGTGTCCAACTTCTTTGAACTTTCCAATCCTTTGACACTGAGATGCTTCACAATCATGGATTTGGACAACGAAGATCAAGAACTTGAGAGAAGGTGAACTTTGATGAGGATAAGAAAGGTGTAAAGGAAAATAACTCTTTGGCACAAAACCCCGTTTAGTAGAAGGGCTGCAGTTAGTCCAACTTGTAATCAGCAAATACTTAGCACCTAACTAGTGCAAAGCAAGGGTCATGGAGTTCTTTTGAGACACAGGAGCAAAAATAAGAACAGGAAGGATGTATTTATATATTCTATTAATCTTAGAAAAACACAATTTCCAACCCCTCCCCCAGTGTTTCTTGGATGGCATTTCTTTCAATCAGCCCTTGCCTCCTTACACAATATTTTAAAACTATGACTTACATTCTAATTAACTTTCAACAACTCCTTTAAGATGTTCCCCCGCAATAAATACCTCTCCTCAGTCGGTCACGTCGATGTTAGTGTCATTTCCCGTTCTTCCACCCCGTGCGTTAGACGCACCACCGCAACTGCCTCTACTCTACCTACGCTTTCTTTCCTGGGGCCTTTCTCCTGTGTCCTACCTACCACTCCAGCCTCCAAAACAAGCTTAGATTACAAACTCCTGACGGTATACACCTGGACTTTATCAGCAACTTCCAAGAGAAAGTAAAAGAAATGCTTGGAGATAACAGACACCGCATAACCCTTTAGTGTTTTAAAGACCTCACCCTTCAACAACGCCTCAAGCCTTAGCTCACAGTGCTGGACTCCACCCGTGCCCGCAAGAAATTCAAACTAAATATAACTCACGAAACATGAATGCTTATATGTAACTTATACTATATATAATATACGTATATAGCATAAGTATACTATATATTATACTATATATTAATATGGGGATTATTATATATAATTAATATAGGGAATATATATATATATATATATATATTCCACGAGTTTCTCCTTTGAGAACCACCCTACCCTCACCAGCAAATTTATTAATGAATCCTTCCGTTCCAGAAACTGTAAAAAACAATCCCTTCATTTGGGGGTTTAGCAAAAATGCATGCTTTTGTCACGTAGAATGGATTCCCCAGGGCACCCCGTTCCCATAGGAAGGCTCCAGTAGTTTCAGTCTTCCCTGGAGGTGTTGAATCTGCTAAACTGAAGTAGGGCATCAGAAAAAAAGGCTGTATGGCAAGTTTTAAGTCGTTTTTGCGAAAAAGGGAGAAGCTAAAATGTGGAAGTCTGAACCTAGTTGGTTAAAGTGGGTGGGAGTGCTTCCAAGGCCGCAGGACGCGTGGACCACTCGGCTCCTAGCGCATCTGCCCTTACCCACCTCCCAGACCCCAGCTCCTCGCTCTCCCCTCGCCAGCAGGCGCTGGACAGTACCTTGCGTGAGGGCCAAGAGGCAGTAGTGAACCAGAAACCCCTGGGGTGTGTTGCAGAGCTGGAGACACTTGGGTTGGAAGTTCCCCCATCCGCAGGGCCCCTCCTCAAACGCGGAGTCCGCCCCGGTCCCCTCTCGGGAGTCGGGGGGAGTTGCGGTAAGCAGAGGTGGCTTCCGTGACTCCCGGGGCTCCGGAGGCGGGTGTGTCTGTGAATCCTCTCTCTCGGTATCGGCAGAAAAGGAAGAGATCTCTACGTGAGACGGCGATGCGGAGAAACGGCGCGGAGTGTCAGGGCTGGAGTTGAGGAAAGCTGGGTTCTCAATGCCTTTGAGGTCCTTCATGGTTAGGATGGATTCTCCTGACTCCAGCGCGTCCGAACACTAGAAGGGAAAAAACACAAACGGGTCCCGTCCTGACTCCGCCCCTGGGCAGGTAGCAGAGCGCCCTTGGGGGGAGACTCCGCCTCCCTGCCTTCAGGGCTCTAGCCGCGCCGCCTCTGCCACCCTCCTCTGCGAGCTCGCCACCTTGTGGCCTTGGAGTTGGGGTTAGCGGTCCCACGCCTCACCTGTCGCGGCTGGGGCGAACCGGAATGCCTGGCGTGGGCTTGCGACACGGCTGCCGCCAGATGAGGAGGCCAGGGTCCCTGTGGGACCCCACACCGCCGCTCTCCTTTCGGAGCCCAAGGAGTGGGAACCAAATGGAGATTGTGGGAGTCTGGTGACCATTAAGCGTCCCCTGGGTGCTGGCAGGAAAGCTGTGACCATAGTTGCATCAGGAGATCATTCAAGAAAATAACCCTGCGGTTTTCTTTCTTAGCTGCTTACCAAACCAGCCTAGGTCTGGACTCGAAGAATCTAGCAGTCACAAGTACAATACTTTGGATTCCATGAACATCAATCGTAAGAATTTTACTTGTCATCCTCCTTAAAAATGGAAATCCCTACCCTCCTGTTGCCTCCCCACCCCCACCCCGCATCACAACGTAGCCACCTTTTTGGTTTTACTACCCCGAAACTGAAGGAATAGATATTAAGAAACTGTAAAAGCATATGTGTGATATTCTTTCTGTAGTATACTGCATAGCTAAGATCAACAGTGTTGATAATCATGTAAATAATTTGTACCTGAGGAATAAACAAGAAAACCACTTTGAAGAACTGAACACCCATTTACTATGGTAGTTACAAGTTATTCATTCATGGAAAAATATTTATTTCCTGGGCACCAAACACTGTCCTAAGATCTGAGTGGTACAGTGCTCATAAAAGCTGAAAAATACACAGAGCCTTCTGGCGCTTGCGTTCTAATAAGACAGATAATAAGCGATAACCGTATTGATAAGTGTCAGAGGGAAAAGTAAATCAAGGACAGGCTACAAAGTATGTGTTGGGAAAGAGGAGGAATATGATGCTATCTTAAATTGGGTGGTCAGGGCAGACCTCCTCGAGAAGGTGACATTCACGCTAAGACCTGGAGGAAGTAAGGGAAGGAGTCTGAGATGTTGGAGAAATAGTGGCTGGGGTGGAATGAGATTGTTGGAGAGCAAGAGGAGTTGAGGGCAGGTCAAGGGGTGCATGTGGAGTGGAGAAGAAGTGATTGGGGTCAGGCCTTGTAGGCCACCATAGGATATTAGCTTTTATTGTGAGGGAAAATAGGAAGATTGGAGCCAAGGAGTGACATGATCCTGACATGATATGGTTTTCAACGATCCATCCTCTGTCCCCTTTGGAAGATAGACTAATAAATCTCCAAGTAATATATTTTAAACAAAATACATTTTTATTAAAATCTCAGAATGTTTATCCATTCTGAATTATCAACCCTAAATTAAATGTTGATTCCAATAAAGAACATAATGAAACCATACATATTTTCTTTTTGCTAGGTAATCAGGACTACATATACAAAGTTGTTATGATTCATAAGACAATAGAGTGTTAAGGAACCTACTTTCCCAGATCCAATTACCAATTATAAAATATCTCAAAACAGGTCTCAGATGTCACTAGGTGATATATTGCTATATTATGTTGTTTTCAATGCACTGCTATTATTATTCATATATAAGGGCCCTTTTATTAGAAGTTAGAGTACTTCGCTACATATTAATTAATCATGCTATCAAGTTCTGGAGAGAATTTTTGTCTTGCTGTCTTCATGTAACATCTAGCTGATTGCCTGCCCGAGAAGCTACTTCTACATTCAGTGCTAATACCTCTCACATAACAGCGATTTGGTTGCAAATCATGGTCATCTCCAGTGTGGGTTTTAACCCAGAGAGAAGAATATGGTGATGTAAGGATTTCCTCTAATACTGAAATGTTTTTATTTCTTCTAACTGTAGGCACTAGGCTCAATTAATACATCCTAGAAGAATGGTTTTCAAACACTTATTTCTTAATAAAATAAACTCAAATTCAGAAGAAAATACACAGTGTGTGGCACATAAGTAGTATTTTGTGAAAATTTTGCTTTAATTATATATGCTTTATTTACTGAGTTGAGGGATTGAGTTTTTTTTTTTAAAAAATCTATCTTTGAATAGACATACATCCTGTTTCTTGTTTCTTCACAGTCCAAATAGGTCTAGACTGACCTGGACCATAGTGAAAGAATAGAAATAAGAAATAACATTTAAAAATGTCTGCTATATATCCCATTATTAATCCTTTTTCGAGAAATAGCTATTATTACCTATGTTTTACATATAAAAGAGCAGATTAGTAACTCACCCAAAACCAAGTAGCTAATAAATGGTCTGCCACCTATTAAGGATATGAAGTCAGTACTCTCGGTCAGATACTTTCCCTGAGTTTTGCATTTTCTGGTTTAATTGCTACAGCCTGACTCTGTTGGTTAGAATTATTACATAGAAATTCTGAGAGCTCAAGACTCGTATTTACCTGTTGTTCATGAGATTTAAAGACTAATTATGCTCTGAATACCCCAGGGTTTTCAGAAATCCAAATTAGGCTTACTATAGAATCCTCCTAGACCTTCTATCAAAAAATGTTGAGACAGAAATGGACTTCAAGTGGTGTCTAAAGGTGTAAATAAATATGATCACCATTTTATCTATGAAATATGATGTAATGTAACCAATAAGCAAATTTTGCTTTCGTGAGATGTAATTAAATACAGTCTTAATTTAAAATAAATTAAGATTATTTTGCAGCTTTGAATTAATAGATTCAAAGTAGCACAGTGATCATGCACTTAAATCTATACTCTCTAAGGAGAAATTTCAACTCTTGCAGAGTTATAGAGTTTTGTTGAAAGACTAGCAAAAGTAGCATTGCTTCATTTTAAATACATCTTGCTCTTACTGAATGTGATATCAACACCACTTTCCTGTTCCCCCTGCATCCTTTAAGCTGCAATAACGGAAGGAAGTGGTTTCAGGTTTAGCTTACAAAGACAGAAAACAAAACAACAAAACTCACAGGTTTTGCCTGTGTTAATTCTGTGGAAAATTGTCATTTTTAAATTGTTTGGTCAATCTAAGGTAAATCTAGTGAGCATAGTCAAAATATACCATGTTAAATTTCACAAGGAAATTAATAAATTGCTATTATTTTCATGGATTTTATTTGCTCTCTTTTTGAAGGTGAAGAATGGAAGGAAGAAAACTATCCCAATTTCACAGCAAAGCTCGAACAACGTACACAGGAGCAAAAGCCTCTGCCTATGGAGAGCATTCTCTGGAAAGGACATTGGGTGGCTCTTCCCAGTCAGGAACTGGATGAACCAAAGGAAAGTGGCTTAATGACAGAGCTATCAAGATTGTCTCACTAACTCTTCTTGCTCTGATTCCATGCTGAAAAGCAATCATATGATTCTATTTTGGCCTTCCCTGGAGATATACCTTTAAATAAAAATGTACTTGTATGCCTATGTTGAGTACTTTATCATGCTCCTTTCTGTGTGCTTTTCGTATTTTATTAGTTCCCTTATACCTGCAGACTGGATACAAATCCTTTACCAGTATAACACTATGAGGCTCATAGAACATTAAAATTACAGAGATCTTGGGAGAACACAAAGATGATCAAGGGCAAACATTGTTGATGAAAATTAAAAATCCCAGTATTAAAAATTTATTAATGCCACTTGATTTCATATTAATAAAAGCAGTGAAGAATCCTAAGTTACCCTAGTATTCTTCATTTTTTTCCATTTTAAATGCTCTGCAGGAAGCATAATTAGAAATAACAAATTACATCTAAGAAAAAAATGTAATACTCAACTAAATTAAATACTATTTTGAATCACAGTTGCATAGAAAGATATATTTATTTTGAAAAATTGCAGCTATACTTTTTTTAGTCATACTAACCATAAATCATTAAGACAGTACATCAACAAACATGGCTGATCATAATTTTTAAAAACAAACAAATAAGCATTTAATACAATAATCCCATAAGAAAGCTAACCCAGTAGGTTGTAAAAAATAAACTATTAGTGTAAAACTTACTATACAGTATCAAGTTAAGCTTTTCAATAATATATGATTATTTTATACAGATAATGTGTATATATACACGCATATAGATTAGTCTGTCTTGGAAAAGTCCAGCCATTGTTGACATATGAGAACAGTTTGCACGACATCGATGCAGACTGGCAGCCAAGGAAAGTAGACTAGAATACGCATGAATGAACAATGATGACTTCACTGTACTAGTCAATGCAGGGGTGGTAGATGCAATTGAGTGAGCATGTATACTGTGTGGTCATCACATTCAAAATGACTGAGCAAGTAGAGCAATGAATCTGCATCAAATTTTGCCTTAAGCTTGAACATTCCACTGCAGAAACTATTCAGAAGATTCAGAAGGCTGCAGCTATGGGCAACTGGGGATTGACAGCTTCCTCAAGACAACATGGCAGCTCATGCATCACATTGCATGCAGAGTTTTTTGGTGAAACATCGAATCACCCAGGTGACTCAGCTCACTACTGACAAGATTTGGTGCCCTGCAACCTCTGGTTTTTCCCAAAACTAAAATCACCTTTGAAGGGGAAGAGATTTTGGACCCTTGATGAGACTCAGGAAAATATAATGGGGCAACTGATGGCAACTGGGAGGGCTGTGTGAAGTCCCAATGTGCCTACTGTGAAGGGAACTGAGGCATTATTGTCCTATGTACAATGTGTCTTGTATCTTTTATCTTCTTCAATAAATGTCTCTATTTTTCATATTACATGGCTGGATATCTTCTGAACAGACCTTGGAATACACACACATACACAACAGAATATTATTTAGCCATAAAAAAGGAGGAAATCCTGCCATTTGCAATAACATGAATGGACCTCAAGGATGTTATGGTAAGTGAAATAAATGAGTCTGAGAAAGACAAATACCGTATGATCACACTTATATGTAGCATCTAAACAAACAAATTAACAAACAAAAAGTATTATACCCAAACTCATAGAAAAAGATTAGATTTGTGGTTACCAAAGGCAGGGGTTGGAGGGCTGGGGAATCAGAGGAAGATGTTCAAATATACAAACTTCCTGTTGGCTATAGGTAACACTTCCGTTTGAGAGAGAAAGAGAGAGAGAGAGAGAGAGAGAGAGAGAGAGAGAGAGAAGATCCAAAAAGTTCTCATTACCAGGCAATAAACATTGATTTTCTTTTTTTAAATCTATATGATGAATGCTAGCTAAACTTATTGTGGTAATTATCATAATATATATGTTAAATCATTATGCTATACACCTTAAACACATATAGTGCTATATGTGAATTAGATCTGAGTAAAACTGTAAAAAAAATTAGAGTAAACTCTTAGCACTGAAAAGGGAAACATGCCATTAATAAATTGAAAATTGATACTTTTCTATTTTACATAAGAAAGAATACATGCTTAATTTAAAGCAGGAAACCTTCAATCTAATATAAACAAAAAATCCAGAAAAAGAAAAGCTTGAGGAACTAGGATTTTCATGGTAATTATTCTACAGCTTTAGAGAAAATGCTATTTGAAGAGCACGAATAAACTCATCAATTCTAAAACATGAGGATTTCTCCTATATTATGTATGCATTCCTTTAAAATGTCATTTTATGCAAAATCAAGCACCAGAAATAACTAGACTTAGAAGGAAAATACTGTAGAGGTAAACTACTCAAAAACCTATGCAACTTTGTAACCTGTCCTAACAAAAACAATCTAGTCTTAATAAATCTTAGCACAGCTAAATCCCCACTGGTATTTTCACGTAGCACCACAGTAGATCAATTGTAGGTTCAAATGCTGGGGCTCACCTTCCACCTTTGGCATGTCGCTCCCTGAGGGCGCAAATTTTCAATGGAGACATTTCATTACAAAATAAAAATCTTGGTATTTAGAAGGATTTACAACTTCTTATTTGGCACTTGCAGCTTAACTAGATACACAAACATTGTAGAAAGCACAAAGATTCTTGATAACATCAAATCATTTGAAACTGACTCCAAAGGAAGGCATTTCTGTAGGATTTTTACCTGTTTTTTTCTTAAGACTTAATTTATTGCCAAGGTCTTCTTTCTAGTGGTAAGAAAACTTCCCCTGATTGTTTCAAAAGCCACTAAATTGGTGTTAACCAATGCAACATCTGGGTTATACTGATATCATTTCTCTATTTACCAATTCTTTATAAACTAGTTTGTGACATAAGAACGAACTCTTGTGTACTCTGTTGTAGCAGAAAGTTATATTCAAATTTAAAGACTTAATGCTACTCCCTAAAGTATTATAATTTTAATTATACCTTTGCTAGTTTGTTTTCTAAAAAATAATTCATATATAGATAATATGTATTTATACATACACATTACAAGCACCTTCAAATTGCATCTAAATGTTGTTGTTTTACTTTATTTTCTGGTTATATTAATTATTATTAATATTCTGGTAGAATATTAAGAAAAGATATGAGTAAACTAAAACTATTAAATCTTAATTCTCCTAGAAAGAGCTATATTGTAAACTGATGTTTAAAATCTTATATACATTAAAAACAAGTTAGCAATGTTTCACAAGAAAGTACTTTATTATGAAAAGAAAGATCTCCAGAGAAACATTTCTACTCCGTAGATGAACATCCTGTGTGATTTTCCTTTCTGAACGCAGGGCACAGCATCACATTTGGTAGAAGCTTTGAAGGAGAAACTCCTGTATTCACATTCAGATCCTCAGCTGTTCTGCATTCCTGCTCATTCAAACAGAGAGTCAAGCAGTTCAGTCGAGTTTTCAAAAAAAACGCGTTTATAGAGTCTAATAAGTGCATGGTTAAGTTAAAGAAGAAAAATATATAGCATGCTATAAATGCTCTCCGCTTCACATTTCTTTCTGCCAGGTAAGACCATGAATAGGACAGTGCATACCTTTACACACACAATCATTGACTAATGTGAATAACAAAGGAGAAATTTTGTCAGTTGTTCCTTCTCTCAAAAGAGTGAAAACTACTACCCTGGCTGATGTGGCTCTGTGGCTTCAGCGCTGGCCTGCAAACCAAAGGGTCAACAGTTCAATTCCCAGTCAGGGTACATACCTGGGTTGCAGACCAGTTCCCTAGTGTGGGGTGTGTGAGAGGCAACCACACATTGATGTTTCTCTCCCTCTCTTTCTCCCTCCTCCCTTCCCCTCTGTATAAAAATAAATAAAATTTTTATTAAAAAAGAATAAAAATTATTGTAGATAAAGAAGTTTTTCTTTTCTAATAATCTGATTGTCCTGTCAATATTTGGAAAATTGCTTTATAAATGTGGATATGTGAAGTAATTAAAACAAAAACTTTTTACTGGCATGTTTAAGCTTAAGAAAAATTCCACAAATGCTTGATACATTTTCTACATCCAAATTTGAAAATTTCTTCACATGAAATAATTATTATTAATCATAAAATGAAATTGAAATACACAAAAATGGATATCAATTCAGATATCAGGTAATCTTTATCAATAAAATTCAAGTCAATGTAAGAATAGAAAAGATATATCATACTCAATTTTATGTCTACTAAAATTAAAAGACAATGGAAGGTATGTATTGCAAAATGGCCAATTGGCTGGAGAAATTTTCTGAGGAAACCTCTCCATCATCAAGTAAAAGAAAAATAAAATGTTCATTTTTAAGGGTTTAAAATAGTTTTCTTTTGGAGAATAAATACAACTTTAATTTATTATATGAATTGAACTGGTAAATTTAATTTTGAAAAATTATTGAGAAATAAACATCCTCGATGCAAATAAAAAGTAACAAGCATAAAACATATAAAACCTAAGTAATCTTGTATAGTGAAAGGTCAATAACTAATCTAAAAGATAGTATTGCAGTCAGTTAACTTGCTTATATTTTTGCATATCCATGTTGTCCTTTCCTTCAAAGTATTATTGTTCTATTGAAAGTACTAAATGTATATATTAGAATACCTTTTAAAAATTGAAAACACAAAGACTATATTTCTATATTTATACTAAAAATATAGTAACACTTATAGGATCATATGAATCACATTCATTTATTAAACATGTAACTATATTACAATTATTTTAAAATGTATCAATATAATAACACTCCTCTGATGGACTGACAATGTATAATCCTTACCCAATGATGATCCAGTTATAAATCAGTTCTTTCCTTCTCTTCTTTTTTTTTAAATTTTAGAATTTTTACAGGTAAACTCAGAATATCACTGTTTTCCTTTAGTAAACATTTGTAAAGGCCAAATGCAATAGCAGTGAAGAAGATAGTGAATACTTTGCAGGTAAAACCTAAATAAAAAAAATTCAGATGCATCGATTTATTTAAAACAAAATAGTTGTGGAAAGAATGTCAGTTACTAAAGAAAAAGTAAGTGTATTTTATCTCTAAAGGTATCAATTTCCCTATTGTAGAATGTAATTAATGTCATAAATATATCATTACTTAAATGAAATTTTTAAATATTTACAAAAACTTTTAGATTTCTTAAACATGTAGCCCGAGAAAAATGCAAGGTGTGTTATTTCACATAATGTATTAACTCAAAAATGAAACAAATGCATTTCTACCCTCAAAATTTAACTATCAGTAGGAACTGGAATCTGTTTAAGTCATTTCACGCAGCTTTACTCTTCTTGAAATGCTCATTGTTTTCCAAATAAAAACAGAAATATTTTAGAAATATTAATTGATTATACGGTTTTTAAATTTATTTTTATGTTTCAAGTTTTAGAAAGTTAATGTAGTACAAACAGTATTTAAAAGTACTTGGACTTTGGGTTCAAATAACCCTATTGATTAAAGTAAAAAATATTTCAGAGGAACAATATCAATTATCTCACAATATAAATTATAGTGATTTCAAAAGATAAAATAGAAAAACTTAATGAGTCTATCTCATTTATAATGACACAATATTTCATACATTTCATTATAAGAGCCAAACACCATAACACCATAAAAACCATAAACACCATTAACAGTCCAAATGTACATGAATGAGAATAGATAAGCTGTAGTACATTCACAAAAAATGTTAAAAGCTCAAACTACTGCTAAAGAATATCATGGATCAATTTCCCAAAAGCATAACATTAAGCAAGACAGACAAACAAACAAACAAAAGAACAATACATGTTGTACTATATTTGCATACATTTCTGGAACAGGGGAAACCAACTTATTGTAATAGAAATCTGAAAGATGTTTTTCTGTGGAGGAGGGAAATGGACTGAGAAGGGGCATAGGGTAAATTTCTATAGCTTGTTTCTGGTGGTGATTCCACAGGTGCACTCAATTACCAAAAGCCAGATCTATAATAAGATCTATATTATGTAATTATATATTAATTACCAAAACCGTCAATTTTTTTAGATTACTGCTTGATACATTTTTATCATTAATAATCTTTTACTTTTTCCCTTTATTTTTATTGTTTACATTAATACAACTGCCCTCTTCCCCACCCCTTTGCCAACATCCACCCGCCTCTTACCTGCCCCTTCCTTCTAGCCATTACACCACTGTTGTCTGTGTCTATGTGTCCTGCATATATGTTCTCAGGCTAATCCCTTCAACTTCTTTCATTCAGTTCCACCTTTCCCCTCCACTCTGACAGCTGTCAGTCTGTTCCATGTGTCCATGTCTCTGTTTCTATTTTATTCATCAGTTTGTTTTGTTCATTAGAGTCCACAGATAAGTGGGAATCATATGGTATTTGTCTTTTTCTGACTCGCTAATTTCACTTAGCATAGTAATCTCCAAGTCCATCTATGCTGTTGCAAAAAGTAAGATTTCCTTATTTTTTTACAGCCACATAGTATTCCACTGTGTAAATGTACACTGCTTTTTTATCTATTCAACAAAACACAGTGTAACCAGCATCTGAATCAAGAACAAAACAATGTCTACATCCAAGAATCCCTCTTCATGTTTCATCAAATTCACTAACCCAAAAGGGTTAGTTTGGTTTGGTTTGCTTTTGAAATGTTTGATAGCAGGTCAAAATTATGCAAGTGGGATCCTACAGTGCCTACTCATTTATGTCTGGTTTATTTCTTTCAACAGTATGTTTGTGTGATGCATCTGCATTTTATGTAGTTGAGCACTTTTCATTGCTGTGTCGTATTTTATTGTTAATTTTGTCAAAATTTATTACCCACTTTATTGTTTATTGGCTATTTGATTATCCACTCTTGTGAAATTTCTTTCTTTTGTCCACTTTTCTATTGTTACTCCTTTGCTTATTATTTATTTGTGGGAGTTCTTTATATATTTTGGACATTAGTTCTTTTTCACCTTTTTACCTTTTTCACTGTCTTCTATGCTGCTGCTTTGTTTTCTACCTCTTAATTACTTCTTTTGATGTTCAGAATTTATTAGTTTTAATACAGTTTGAGTTTTCTTTTATAGCTAGTACTTTTTGTATCCTGCTTATGAAATCTCTTCCTACTCCAAAGCCATGAAGCTACTCTCCTGTTTTTATCAAAAGAGTTTATTGTTTTATCTTTTACATTTAGATCTACAATGCATTTAGAATGCAATGCTTTTTGTACATATGATTTGAGATAAGGATCAAGATGTATTTTTAGACATGCATATATAAAATGAGCCATTACTCTTTATTTAAAAACCATCTTTTTAATCATTTCAGTATTTTCTTTCTTTGCTATAAATCAGTTGAACGTGCATTTGTGGGTTTGTTCCTGGATTCTCTGTTCTGTTCCATTGGTCAGTGTGATGGCATTTGCAAAAATATCCTATTGTGTTAATTATTATAGCTTGATAATTCATTTGGATATTTGATAGAATATATTCTTCAAATTTTTTTCATCTTCAAGAGTCTCTTAGCCCTTTGGCTTTCATGAGAATTTCAAGTCCCTTGTCAATTTTAAAAACCTTGTGGGATTTTGTTTGTGATCTCTTGATGGTATAGATTAATTTAGGAGAAGTGGCATTTTCAAATCTTTATATCTGGAAACATATGTACTTTTCATTTACAGTGGTGCCTCAGTACTCATCAATAATTTGTTCCGACGAGTGGTGAGCAAGTAATGATTGATGAAGCATTTTTCTCTTGTGGGGTGGCACTGTGACTCAGACAAGTTCTACCAAGTGCGACAAGTACCAGGTTGATGAGTACTGAAGCTGACAAGTATTGAGGTACCAATGTATTTACATTTTAACATCTCTTAAGTAAAATTTGTCATCATTAGTATAGAGTTTTATACCACTTTCAATAGATATCTGTCTTGGTACTTCATTATCTATGCTATTTTAGTTATTATATTATTTTGTATTTGGTTGTACCTGGTATATAGAAACACAATTGATTTTTGTACATTGATTGTATATTAAACAAGCTTATTAAATTTACTTCTTAATTCTAATATATGTATTTCTTGATATTAATGCTAATTACAGGTACGTTCACTTTATGGAAGTACATTTCATAAATCGAGTTACACATTTATAATATGTGCTTTTTTCTGAAAATATACATTTCAATAAAAATTCTACCAAAAAAGAAAGTAAATCAAGCCCAACGAAGTGGTAAGTATGGCAAGTTAAAATAAGAAATGTTTGCAAAAGACTTATAAATCCTCTCTCTAGTGCAGTTAAAAAAAGAGCTGCTAGAATCCTTCACTCAAGGTAAAAGGTATATAATGAGTCATTCCAATGGAAACTTAAGAGAAAGATCAGAATAATTTCCTTGCTACCAAAGAGAACTGAAAGATTGACATAATACATTTTTTTACCAGCTTTTTGAGTGATAAAACTTGTAAGAATAGGAAATTCCACAGCCTTCCTCCACAGAAAAAAAAATTTTTGGACATAAAATTGAGCAAAAAGAATTTTAGGGTTTCAAAGATATACTAAAGTTTAGTGTGGGCTCCTAGGTTTCATGGATCCCTTTTGAATAAGCCTTGCTCTATAGCAGTCGATTGCAGAGAACTTCTCGTTACAATGACAGTGTTCTACATCCGTGCTGTCCAATAGAGCAGTTGAATGTGACCATTAAGCATGTGAAATTTAGGTATTTTTACTGTGAAATTGAATTTTTAATTGCATTTAGTTTTATTTCATTTCTATTTAAATAGCTGTATGTGGTTAAGGTGTGCCATAGTGTCAGCATAGCTCTAGACCCTCTGGGACTCTACAGTCACCTGGGGTACTTTATTAAAAATGCACATGCCTACCTCTAATGCCTGGGATTCTAATTCAAGGCCATAGTATTTATATTCTTAGCAAGTGCTCCAAGTTTTTCGGATTCAAGTGGCTCATGGAATACACTTTAAAATGTACCAGTTTACACAAAATTGTCACAAATGCATATTCCTATTATAGTTTCTTGTGTCTTACTATAATTTCCCATGTTCTTTATTATTGTTATCTCCTTTAAGTAGCTCCTTTACAGAATCTCTATTAGTTTATCATCTTTCTCAATTATCTGCTGCGTTTGAAAATAGTTTGGCATAAAAATTAAAAGGTTTGGCAGTATTTTAAGGGGACATCCTTAAAAACAAGGCCTAGTTTTGTGGAATTATCTCTGGGAAATTTCTTTTGACTTCTTAAATGTCAATTTTGACTTGTTAATGTTTTTCTTAAGTTTTACTTTTCAGGTTAAGTGTTGGCTAATTTTGCTGGTAATTAATTTCTGAATTAGAAGGCATTGCTGTATATTATTTATCAAACACGTAATTGTTACTGTTAAATATTAGAGTCTAACATTACGTGGTTCTTTGAGTTGCTGAACCCACTTACTAAATCACAAAACACATAAATACTTTCAAATATCACACCAATAGCATCTGTACAATAACATTTATCAATGTTAGTAATGATTAAGACTTCAAAAATTATATAACCCCAAATCCTCCTTTTACAGATGAATAAATTGAGATGCAGGAAGATCTATTGAATTTTCCAAAGTAACACAAGCATATCTAGGCTTTCCCAGCACTTTGGCCATAGCTCACACCATCATGGCATCTCAAGCCCTATATCTCTCATTTGTTCAGTAAATACTGAATGCTTGCTGTGTGCCAAGCAGCGTTATATCATTGAGCATAAGAGACAATATGAAACTTATATTTTATAAGTAGGATAAGAGTACATTGGTGCTCTTTAATGGTGCGAAATTTTTTTTAAATCATCCAGTCTTTTACAGTGGAAATGGAAATGGTCACAAAGTCAATCAATTTGATTGTATATATATGCAGGCAAAATTACTTCCCAAGTTGAAAATCTAATAATTATCACCCCTTACTCAGGAATAACATAAAACAATTGTATATTTAATACAATGACTCAAATATTTACATAAATTCTATAGTACTTTAGTTTTCAACATATTTTTATGTAATACTATAAGGCTTCTTTAATCATCAAAGTACCCATTTGCTCATTATTATTACTGTACCTTACTATAAACAATCATAAGTTTTTAAAACAATTTTACTTCTCTACATTTCTTCAGTAGATATGACTTACATATTCCTAAAGATAGGGAGGCCATTTTTGTCTTGTTATAGATCCAACAATTTCCTGTGTTTCCACAGCTTCCTTTTTCCCAAAAGGTACAAGTACTTTCTACTACTATTTTAAAAACCACTGGTCCAGGTATACTCCCTATGAAAAATGCAGTAATTGTAAATTCTCCATGAAAACACTATATGTTGGGATCAGAATAATTTTTATCCTAAAATTAAACATGTGTACATATATATTTAGACATCATCACTGTAAACATATCATTTTAAATTATATAAGAATTTATTTATAAATAAGATTATTAATAACTAAAAACAATATGATTTTAAAATATCCTTATCCCTATAAGTATAAAAAAAATTGGTTGATTTGCACTTTCTCAAAATGGTGTGTTTGTTCTTATTTAGTTGACATCTCAAAACTGTTAACTTTTTAATGGAAAATTCAGGACAAAATATTTCAAACAAAGATACTAAATATTGATTTTAAGAATTCAGTGTTCTTCCAAAAATGTTAAATTATGAAATTTTCAATAACTGAAAAATTAATTTAATAGTCTAATGTAATACCTGTTATTTATCAAGATATTGAGAAAAATAACTTAAAATGTAAACACTTTGGTAGGTTAATAGCAACCCTAGATTCAGCATATCCAGAGGAACAGTTAGTTGAGTGCTGCTGCCTGAGGGAAACCTCTATGTACCATCAGAGACAATATCTGCTAGCAACAATGCCATTTGCAGATAAAAATGAATTACGTCATTTTTTTAAAGCCACCTCAAATACACCAGAACAAGGTTCTGAGAACTAACATGTCTAATGATTGACCATCTTCCTTAAGAAATTATCAGGGACCTCATGCCTCGTGACTTGGTTCCTGTCAAAGACCACTATCCAACACCAGAAATCCTGCCCAGAGAGGGCCAGCACTCTGTTTATAATTGTTCAAGGTAAAAATCCTAGGCCTACTATGCATTCCCAATCCATGATAAATTTTTGTAACACTAACTCCAAACATATATCGGATATGTTGGTTTCTCTCTGTCTCTACTACAAGCCTCAGAATCCAATTTAATGTGACTATGACTTCCATTTCAGCAAAAGCCTCCATTTTCATGTTCTCCACATTGTTTTCTATTAACTATTTCTCCCTCCAGCAGCAGTTATCTTTTAAATGTAAATCAGATGATATCTATCCTCTGCTTAAAATTCTCTGATAACAACGACCTGTCTAGAAAGTCTACATCTAAAATACCATCTTATTCTACCTGCTTTCATTAAAAAATTCATCAGTTTCACTGGTTTCGTTTCTGAGGCAAGAAACTGTGTATTCAGTTGCTGTTTCTTAAGATCCCTGCTGCACTACAAACCTGTCCTTATCTAGAAGATCATTGTTCACCATAAAAATATCCTCTATTTTTTTCCCAATTAAAGATCATTTAAACCCCACCGAATGATGTAGCTCTGGAATGATTTCTCTGATTCACATCAGAGCCACACTAAAAATTTTCTACATTCTTGATGCCATTTATTATGTCTTTCAGTCTTCAATCCACTCCAATTTTGTTTCCTTACCCCACCAATATTTTCAATCAACTTCTTGAATCAGGGGTCCTAATATAGTTATAATGTGGATTTGAAACCTAGTTTTTTGCTATTTTAAGAAAGCCTGGAGTACAGAGTGCATTATCCTCAGCAAAACTAAGTCTTCCTTTAGGTAGAAATCCTTAAAAATATCAGATTCAGTGACTTTGGTAATGAAATATTTAAAAGCAGTAGTTTAGGTTACTGACTTCCCAAATACAAAACAATATATAGTTGCTACGCTTATGTAAGTGTTTTATTTCAGCTTAACAAACCACTTGTATGAGCTTAATGAACATACTTCAAATCAAATAGATTATCTCTCTTAATTGAATATAATATTAATGCATATTTTATATGGCAGGATAGGACTTACATTAGGTATTATCTTTTTATATTGTGTTAGCTCCAAAATTCTGCAAAGAAGCTCCTCCATTCATTTATTTCAATTTACTCTTATTATATATTTGAAATTATAAATATACATGTAAACACAAACATATATCAAAATATGAACATTTCAATATAATAAAAGATTACTAAAAGTCCATACCAAATACTCTCAAAATCACAAAAGTCACACCCAAGGCAAGATAACGTTGTTTGTCAGATACGACCCTGCAAGCAAATAGCAAAGATATCATCAAAACATCATTATTATTAGCTACAGAGAATGTTCTCTAGGTACAAGGTTAACTTTTTTCCTATGCATAAATTAGACTAAGAATCTTTGGCCAGTTAACAGAGTACAATCTGCTTGAATTAAAGAATTGCCATTCCTCCCAGTTCTCCAAATCCTGCCCCTTGCCAACTAATTGCAAAGCTTCTTGCACTTCACAAGGAGGAAGCAATTATGGCCTAAACCGTCTGCCCCAGCATCCTGAAAAAAAAAAAAAAAAAAAAAAAAAAAAAAAACCATAGCAGTACCTTTCCCACTTCTCTTTAGTCATTCTGTGGCAAATACACAATTGTTTTAGATTCTTCTTTTTGCCTCTGTGAGATCCCCTCTCCACATTTCTCACCCTTCTGTCTGCCCTGGAAGGCTGACCTAAATGAACTGCATCTACAGGCTCTCTTGCCTTATGATAGGGTTCTGCCAATGGGATGCCCCACAGTGAGGTAGGAAAGTGAGGTTAAGATCTTCATTCCCAAGCTCCTCCCTGCAGAGTTCCTTAAGGATGACTCGGTCCCTAGACAAATAAGTCCCCCATACAAGTCTCTTTCCTTCCCATCCATTTCCCTCTGGACATGGCTGGGGTGGAACCCAGATGTACTGCCATACGCCTTGGGATTCCTTAAACCCTGCCTGCCTTTTAAATGGCCACTTTATTCAGTCTTGCTTGAATTGTCCTAGTTTGGGGGTGTCATCTCTTTCCTGCTGATCCTCCCACTCTTACCTCATTATTCAAAAGCTAAAATATATAAAAAATAACTTTCCCAAATAAAAGCAATGAAGATCTCTGTATTTCCCATTGGTCAAATTGAGTATTTGTTTAAAAAAGAAAAATGATGCATAATATTACACATTGTAATTTGGAAAACAAATTGAAAATACAATTTAAAAATTCAAATTTTCAGGAAGTGAAACAATAAAAACTACATTTTAAATGAATATTTTAAATAAACTCTGTGTTTCCTGTTCCAGAACTTGAACAACAAACTAGCATAACCAAAATTTTCATCCAAAATCACTCAACTTATTAAAATGCAGCATATGTAAAATATTTTGTGATTATTTTGCAAAACCTGAGATAATTCCACCGGTATCAATCTGGAAATATATTCTTTCTTCTAATGTTTACTACTAGTAAAATGAAAATAAATAAACCAATTTTCAAATAATAATTTTTAAATAAAAGAATGTATACTTTTATTATGAGCAGATTCATTAAGCAAAGGTAAAACAAGGAAAGTTTCATATTTTAGAACCACACTTTATTATAAAGTTTTTGATATAAAGTGGAAATGGTCATATGCTTAACTATAATTGAGTGTTCTGCTTCACTTAGCATAAGTAGTTTTCTTATAGGTCATATAATATTGGTGCTCTCTGAAGCATCTAGAGAGCAGACCATAACTTATAAGTAGAGTCATTAAGAAGTATCTATGTATCTTCAGTTTGATTATAATCTTCTTTCTAACTGATATACAAAACAAGATGGAAAGATTAATGATTCCCGGGATTTTCCAAACTCAGTTAAATAAACAAACAACACAAAAAAAATTATAGATAATTATAAAAACAAAATTTTACTGAAAAACTACAATGTTTTAATAACAAAGTGAATGCTTTTTATTATTCTAACAAGTAGGGTTATGACAGGATGATTTAAGAACTTCAGGGAGTAAACAAAAATTTTGTTAATACTCTTTCGAAATGCAAAAGGCAGTTCCTACTATCTCTTACTTCTAAATTTACATTTTCTGTCCGTGTCTTTCACATAAGGCATCAGTTGTTGACTTAAGTTCCTGCCTAACTCTAAAGCTGTTCTTTCCCTAGTGCTCCCTATCACAAGAAGTGGAACCATCCTCCATGCAGTTCTCAAGCCCAAAACCTAGAAAGAGACCTCCCTTGATACCATCATTTTCCCCATTCACTGCAATCAAATAATCAAATACTGTTATTTTTAAAAATTTAAATCTTTTCATATTTCTTTTTCTGATTTTCTATGTCTCTAATTCTAGTAGCCTATTCCAGCCCTATATCTTTTGCCTTAAAAAGAATGAAATGACTTCCCAATTTACCTCTCATACCTCCCAACACCCTTACTCTTTCATTCCACTTCTCACATAAAGACAAAGTTATATTATTAAAGGTGAAATTCTGATTTCAGTGCTACAGTAGGATCCTTCAATGGCTTCCTATTGTTCTTAGGATAAAATCTAGAATTACCAAAAAAAAATGTACAGGGGTCATCTGATCTTATCAATCTCATTCCATGGCACCTCACAACTTGAACCTTTCTTGCCCTCCATGTTCACAACATTCAGAAAAACAACAGACTTATAAAGCTGCATCAGAATCTTTGCATATGTTTCTCCCACTGTGTGAAATACTTGTCCCCACCATTTAGGGTTCAGCTTAAGTATCATTTCTTCAGGATACCTCTCTGAATCCCCAGACTAAGTTAAATCACCCTATAATTTTTCATTGCATTTTTCAGAATTTTCTTTGCAGCAGGTTTTTTTTATATATAAATATATATTTTTTGATTATGCTATTACAGTTGTCCCATTTTTTTTCTTCCCCTCCACCCTGCACCACCCCCCACTCCCAAGCATATCCCCCCTAGTTCATATGCATAAGTTGTACATATAAGCTCTTTGGCTTCTCCATTTCCTATAATATTCTTAACCTCCCCCTGCCTAATTTGTACCAACTATTTATGCTGCTTATTCCCTGTACCTTTTCCCCCATTCTGTCCCCTCCCCCTCCCCTCTGTTTTACTGTTCATAGTTGTTGATCTTCTTCCTTTTTCTTAGATAAGTTCCTTTAACATTTCATATAATAAGAGCTTGGTGTTGATGAACTCCTTTAACTTTATCTCATCTGGGAAGCACTTTATTTGCCCTTCCATTCTAAATGATAGCTTTGCTGGATAGAGTAATCTTGGATATAGGTCCCTGCTTTTCATGACTTTGAAAACTTCTTGCCAGCCCCTTCTTGCCTGCAAGGTTTCTTTTGAGAAATCAGCTGACAGCCTTATGGGAATTCCTTTGTAGGTAACTGTCTCCTTTTCTCTTGCTGCTTTTAAGATTCTCTCCTTATCTTTAATCTTGAGTAATGTAACTATGATGTGCCTTGCTGTGTGCTTCCTTGCGTCCAACTTCTTTGGGACTCTCTGAGCTTCCTGGATCTCCTGGAAGTCTATTTCTTTGGCCAGATTGGGGAAATAGACTTTCATTTTGTTGGTCTCCTTCGTTATTTTTTCAAATAAGTTTTCAATTTTTTGCTCTTCCTCTTCTCCTTCTGGCACCCCTATGATTTGGATGGTGGAACGTTTCAAGTTGTCCCAAAGGTTCCTAAGCTTCTCTTCATTTTTTTTTTAATTCTTTTTTCTTCATTCTGTTTTGGTTGAATGTTTATCTCTTCCTTCTGCTCCCAATCATTGATTTGAGTCCCGGTTTCCTTCCCTTTACTGTTGGTTCCCTGTATATTTTCTTTATTTCACTTTGTGTTGCCTTCACTTTTTCCTCCATTGTGCGACCATACTCAATCAATTCACTGAGCATCCAGATTACCAGTGTTTTGAACTCTGCATCTCATAGATTGCCTCTCTATTCATCGCTTAGTTCTATTTTTGGAGCTTTGATCTGTTTTTTCATTTGGGCCATATTTCTTTGTCTTGCGGCGCCTGTTAGGTTCTGCAGTATGTTTTAACATTGCAGTTAAATACATATTAGTGAAACCTAATTTTTTTTTTTTTACTGTCTCTCTTGCCACTCTCAAACATCCATCAAGACGGTAGGAATGTGGTCACTTTTATTCCTCTTTTATTCCATTGTTTCCCTTAAAATATCATGATATTTTCCTGTTTAGACTTAAGTCTCACACAGTGTCATACTTCAGAAAATTTCTCCAGAGGAAAAAGAATTTTGTCATCTTAGCTTCATGTGATAAGCCAAAATGCTGCCAGTTGGCTTGTCTCCCACTAGTGACCTTATACTTGGACTCACTTTACAGGACACTTGATCTTCTCCAAATTTGCCATAAGCATGTCAGTCCATGCCAAATCGTCCTTGATATTTGGTCTTGTCAAAAATATCCGCACATAGAAAATATACCTGTGTTCAAACTGCCCATATTTATTTCTACTTTTGGCTTACAGGATTAATACATAAAATATACTATCATGTTTTATTGGTTTGATAATTGTGTTGTGACTGTATTGCCAATAATCACCCTTCTTGCCTTGGTACCCTAGGGTGAGGTAGATGCGTCTGGGTTCGAATACTGCAGAAGAGCAGGATTTGTATGAACCATGAACCCAAATGTCTCTGTGGATATTTTGGACAGGACCAAATATCAATGACATTTTGGTATAGACCAACTGTCTTTGTGGACATTTGACATGACCAAATGTCTCCTAATTGGACCTGGTCCAGATTGTCAGCATCTAACCTTCATCAAGAACTGGCAAGAATTTCAGAGAAGCTTTAGATCCCAATTCACCTCTAAAAGCTTCTGTTCTCCCTGGAATTTTAGTTCCTCTAGTCCTCTGCTTTCTGCCTTAAACAATATGATTTTTATCATTTAACCCAGGTTTTCTAATTATCCTCTGTAGGAACCTTGGCCTGTTGCAAATTATTCCATCCTATCCCACTTCCATAACGTTAATAATCACTTATTTGATAATGATTTCACAATTAATTTCTTTAGCTTTGACTTTCATTTACTTTTTTTAAAAACCAAAATTTATTGGTTAAATTTATAGTATAATTACAGGCTTTAGAAAGCAAAGTAACATAAAGAAAACAGGCTGGAGAGGCTTGTTTGTTTAAATCCTTGCCCTCATCTCTCCCCATTTCTACCCCACTCCTTTAGGTGACCATTTTAATTATTTACTTATTTTCTTTTAGTTGTTTATGCCCCCAGCATCACAGGACTTATAACAGAC